GAGTGAGGCAGCCGCTCGACCCGAGGCTGCCTCTAGTGGATACGCGGCTTTACACTTCTTTGTAAGATGAAATGGTCATATTAAGAGCCTGTGAATCTACGGCATAGATATGACTGCCCCTTGGGGAGAAATGCTTTCGTGTCTAAAAACGTATAAAGAGGTTTGCCTTTTTAGCCAAAGGTACTTTGTTTCAAGGATCTTGCAAGCCGTATTTCTCTGTGTATTTTTTAAATTGTCTACAACCAACAGCAAACACACAAAGAAACAGTTTAATGCGAGGTAGCCTCTCTCAAGAAGGGTTCGCACCGTAGAATCTTTTCTCACTACTACGAGTATCATCATCATCATCATCATCAGCCTATTAATGTCCCCCCAGCTGGGGCACAGGCCTTCCCTATGGATGGAATAGGGAGATTGGGCCATGACCACCACGCGGGCCCCGTGCGAATTAGTGAGTGCTAACGACTGCAGATGCAGCCAGGACCAACGGCTTAACGTGCCTTCCGAAGCACGGAGTAGCACGAGATAGTAATTTTTGGTCACCCATCCAATGACCGACCACTGCGAAAGTTGCTTAAGTTCAACGATCGCAGTCGAACGCGCTAACCACTTGCGCCATCGAGTTCCGCATTCTGTTATATAAAAATAACCAAATCAAAAACTCCATTTTCAAGTTGCCGCGAAAACGTTTCTCTGGACAATATGGCGCCTTACTAGTGTGTGACGTCACACGACTGTTATTAAAACGTCAAACGATACAATGTTATGTCACTTTAACCGGAAATTTACCTGCGTGTGAGATTCATTTTAGGCTCCGCCAATCCCAAGTATCCCAAGTACTACGAGTATATGCAAGGATTAAAATTAGAAATCCGGCGATTATTAAAGCGAAAGGAAAATATATGAAGGGTAAACACGGGACCCCATTACTAAGACTCCGCTGTCCGCCTGTCTGTCTGTCACCGTGAACCGTGATAGCTAGACTGTAGAAAAAATCACAAATGATGTATTGCTGTTGCCGCTATAGCAACAAATATACATATCATATGGAATAATTATGTGGGGCAATAGTACATCTCTTTATACTACAAAAGAAATGTATAAGAATTATTATGAAAAAAAGTAATATGGATACTTGTAAGCCGCATTTCATCAATCTACAAATTCTGAGCCTTACTTCTATATACGTCTTCGAAATATGTAAGTTTGTAAAAAAATATCCGAAAATTTTTAATAATGCCATAAATAATACGCGTAAGTACCCCTAGAACGATACATAAAAATGAATTTAAAGTACAATATAGCAGATTGGCTATGATTAGCTCTGGACCATTTTGTAGTGCAATACAGATTATAACAAACTACCTAATAACTTAAGATCAGAAACAAATAGTAGCCAATTTCTAAATAAATTAAAGCATTTCCTGCTACAAAAGTGCTATTATTCTACAAATGAATATCATAATGAGAAATTTAATGTATTTTAACTAAAATTAATAATAATAGAGAAAAATAATTTAACAATAAATTCATTTAAATTATAAATATAATAGTAGTAATAAAGAAGTAAAATTAGGAATAATGAATAATCCATTATTTATAATTTTATTTATGGAATGTCCATTGGACGCTAATACAATTTACTTTATGCCCAAATGGGTAACATAATTCGGTCGATTATATTATATACCTACCATATTTTGTACAATTATGATATGCAATAAATGTTTGACTTTGACTTTGAAAATAAACAACAAAATGAAATATTTAAAAGGGGGCTCCCATATACAACAAACTTGAACGTTTTGCCATTTTTGCTCTGTATAAATATCGGCAATAGGTAGACGCTTAAAACATTCACAGAATAATTTGATTATATATTCAATTAAAAATTATAATATGAAAAAAAAATATTTAACAGGGGCTTACATTCAACAGACATGATTTGCCGTTTTATGCCAGATATTATGACATAGTATTTAATGTTGTATAGGTAATGGCAAGGAACCCTTTTCCGAATCGCAATTGGCCGATTTTTTTAGTTTTGTATAAATAGCTTAGTATTTAAGAGAACACAGTAGTTACCAGCGCTGATGCATTTGGTAAAATATGTACCTATTTAAATACCCTAAGGGTTATGCCGTCATTTTCAACCGGTACCCAAATCAAAGTTAATGTGGGTGCCTTCGAGCTGAGTAAGGACTCAAACGCACTTATATTCCTTTGTATTCGATAAGCTCCCAGCTGCCGACCTAACCAGGAAATACGCAACCCATCTCGAGTGATGTTTCAGTTTGACAACAAGTCTATTGTACATACATAATTACTTAGTGCATAAGTTAGATCACGTTATTAGCGTGACAAATAAAATTCACCAACAGATATATGTGTATGTCACAACCAAAACGTATATACACTTCCGGAGACATCTATCTACCCACCTAGTATTCGAAGTTTTGATGTACCCTACTTAAAAGTAAATATTACATTGAACAAATAGTTATTCTAAAGAAAAGTTTACTAGAAAAAAAAATCCACGCGGACCAGGCAGCGGACGGGACCCGAACCCGCACCCTTCGCAATCCGGGCGAATGCACTGACCATTATGCTACCACGGCCCTATTCGCCGCGTCGAAATTTTCTTAGCCTTAAGCTGCAAGGCAAAACTTGAAAACTTGAAAAAGTATTCATTTGACATTGTGGGTTGCATACAATGCGAAGAGATGGCGCTGCCTTGCAGATTAAGGCTAGGAAAATTTCGACGCGGCGAATAGGGCCGTGGTAGCATAATGGTCAGTGCCCGGATTGCGAAGGGTGCGGGTTCGGGTCCCGTCCGCTGCCTGGTCCACATGGATTTTTTTTATAGTAAATTTTGCTTTAGATTTAAACATCTAGCAGTTAAATGCTTAAAAATAAATAAAAACATAAAAAGTTATTCATCATCATCAGCCTATTAATGTCCCCACTGCTGGGGCACAGGCCTTCCCTATGTATGGAATAGGGAGATTGAGCCATGACCTACCACGTGGCCCCAGTGCGGAATGGTGGGTGCTAACGACTGCAGATGCAGCCGGGAGGGGGGAGCGGGTATAGAATCCTCATGGATACAGCCGGCTATAGGGTTATTTACAAACTCTTATTGACTAAAACGACGACCTCCGTGGCCGAGTGGTTTGTACGCCGGATTTCATGGTGTCACCGACTCGAGGGGTCCCGTGTTCGAATCCTGGTGGGGGCAAATGTTTGTGTCATGAATACGAGCATTTGTACTCCAGTTATGGATGTTTAATATGTATTTCTATATAAAAATATACTTATTTAAGTACAGTATATGTATTCCATCCGTTACCCTAGTATCCCATAACACAAGCCTTACAGTGTTTACTTTGGGGCTAGCCTAATTGGTGTGAGTGTTGGGAATATTTATTATTTATTTATTTAAAACAAACGTGGGGGATGCCTATGGCCATACGGGCCTTACAGGCTTCATCCAATGCGATTGACCCTCAGTAGGGGATGATGCAGCACTGCTGTAGTTATTACTACTACATAAATTAATAAATATTTCCAACCCTCACACCAATTAGCCTAGCCCCAAAGTAAGCACTATAAGGCTTGTGTTATGGGATACTAGGGTAACGGATAGAATACATACACTGTACATATATTGGTATATTTATATAGAAAATACATATTAAACACCCATGACTAGAGTACAAATGCTCGTATTCATCACACAAACATCTGCCCCCACCGGGATTTGAACCCGGGACCTCTCGAGTCGGCGACACTATGAAACCCGGCGTAAAAACCACTCGGCCACGGAGGTCGTCAGATAGTCAGACATAGTGAGCTTAGAGAATGGATGCTCTCTAATGTGCACCTGCATGGGTTTGAGACTGAGCGACTGAAGGCCTCTCAGGATCGATGCCCTTCCGAGACTCCCGGGCGGGACTCCCGATTTGATTGGTCGCTGAGTAAGACCAGCTTGCTTTAATACAGCCTCCATCTGACAGACTCGAGATGTTGTGTGATAGATGTCACCTGTGGACCTTGTGGCACTATTTTTATTAAATTTTCTTTATTGACATATACCATATGACCTCATTTAATTGATTGAATGATTTATTTATTTCTCTCACAAAGTCACAAAGTAACATTATAATTACAAAAGGGTATTGGATTACCGTCCAGTTCTTTGAGAGAACTGGAGATTGTACTAGGTTACAAAATCTGTGTTACGACCCCCAGGCTCAACACCTCTTAAAACCCGGTTGCTTGCTAATAGATTCTTTTGCATAATACATTTTTCATTGTGATCTACCCTAGATTATAAGCGAGAGTACAATATGTAAATGTAACATTGAATGTTACAGAACCATATTGAAATAATAACAAAGCAAAAGAAAGAAATAAAACAAGATCGTTACCGCCATTTATCAGGAAATGCGGGTTCACTGGATAACGCTTAAATTTCTATTTATATTTAAAAACTAGCAAGTGTATTCTATCTTGTGTAGTATATTATACTACACAAGAGTTTCTTAGTGACACTTCCTTGAAAGAAATGGACTACATTACCTAATTAAATAATATTTTTAGCCTATTATAGCACAATTTATTATTATTATTATATATTTTTAGTTTGACATAGAAATATTGCTTATTAATGGTGACATAAACATATTTTGACATTTATTTCTAACTATGAGTTGTTTGATTTTAATTGTAATATAATAATTTTGATTTTTATATAATTGTAAACCTGATTATTACTTTAAAAATATTGTATACCTTGTAATAAGGTCGAAATGTAGTGACACTAAACTTTTTACCTAACACCAAATTGCTGTACTAACCTACATAACACAATAAATCATTTGAAATTGAATTTGAATTTGTGTGTGTGTATGTGTTTATCTAGTATGAGAAAAACAGCCTACCTTATATTATACAATAAATAAAAAAGTGATTGTTGTTAAATTATATCTTTTTTCCAGGTTCACAGCGGCTATCGTCTAGAGAAGCCGGAGCACTGTCGGCGGGAGCTGTACAACATCATGTACTACTGCTGGGAAGCGAAGCCCACAGACCGGCCCGACTTCAAGGAGGTGGTCGCCATGCTGGAACGCCTACTCTGCACCGAGACCGACTACATTGAGCTGGAGAGGTTCCCAGACCACTCCTATTACAACGTGCAGCACCTTGAAGGCGAGAAACTGTAATCGTGAACTATTGTCGAAAAAGGGGTGAGGTGTTGAAGAGGTTTCCAGACCACTCTTACTACAGCGTACAGTAGCACGAAGTCGAGAAACTTTATAGTGAACTGTTGTTGCACCTTGAAGGTTAGAACAATAATAATAATGAATTGTTGTCCATAAAGAGGTTTGGTGTTAGACCCAGGGCTTGAAACCGGTTTCAAAAATACCGATAAATAAAAGTTAATACCGGTTTTTAGCAAAGGTTTCGTTTGGAGCGCACCCGAAATGAAAGCGGTACCTTAATAAACCGGTTTAATCCAGACCGACACGTGCACGCGTCGGCATCACTTGAAGTTTTGTTTGAACTTATCAAATCACAACTTGTTAATGCTCAGAGATTGATGCATTTATTGACACGTTTGCTAGCGTCTAGTGAGACAAGTTATTCATTTTGTAGTTGTTTATATAATTCAGCCGTCAGCAAAATGAAACCCTTTAAAAACCGCTAAATTGATTCAAAACCTATTTGATATCGGTGTTTAGGAACACCGGTTTTTTAAGGTTAATGTAGAGCCAAACCTAAATAAAACGCTCCTAATGTACTTGACACTGATTTTGGTTTAAAAATTAACCGGTAAACAAGCCTTGGTTAGACCGACTACGCAGAGCTGAAGAGGTTCCTAAACCACTGTTATTACAGCGAACAGCAGCTCGAAGGCGAAACTCTGTATAGTGAACTGTTGTCCAAAAAAAGTTTAGGTTTAAAGCTAGTATAAGTTACGAGACCACTCAGTGGATATGACACAAGTGCTTATGGCGCTTTATACAATTTTTAATCTATTCCAAGTATATCTGAATAAAATTGTACCAGAGAAAATTCCACGCGGTCTAGGCATCAGACGGGATTCGAATCCGCACTTTCGTGTATAACGCCAATTAAGATGATGAACATGCTACCGGAAAATTTAAGACCGTGCCGAATTTCTCCTAGCGAAATGGGTATATAAATGTAACAGTTAAATACATAAAATAAAAATAAAACGACGGGTTGCACTCCGGGAGTGCCGGCAGAAGTGAAAACTTGAATATTAACGTTGTGCATTTTTGATATTTTGGAATTGTTAGGGAATAATTTTGCACGAATTGCTTTAATTATCAGTATAAAAGTACTATCATGTATGTGGTAGAATACAATATTTATTTATTGCGCTATCGTACACAAACATGACAATTTATATTACATTAATAAAGTTTATCTCTCAGAAAAATCAACTTACATGAATCACGTTTAAGCGCACCTAGCGACATCAATTGTAAAAAAATGCATTTTCTTCTCAATAAAGCTGCCACGTGGACGTCCTAGATAGAGACGTATTATTATAATACGGTAAAATAAAATATTACTATGTTTCGTCCAATATATTGAAAGTCGACAACCTTTCCAATTTTATTGTGTGTCATGATGCGATCAGCCCACGTGTTTACGCCGCTAAAGAAGTTTTCACTTCAAAAATCCAAGTATACTTATGAGTTTCATGTAATGTTCAGTTATTCTTTGTTGCTCTGCACAGCATAACAAATGGCGTAATGCTGTGCATCTTTGTATTGATTACTGATAAATGAGAAAATATTGGAAACGATTATTGTTCCGTATCAACACAAGTATTTTAAAAGAGGCGTGAATAAGTATTTCTGGAGGCCGGCAAGGTGAGGATGGTTGGTGTGGCAGTTCATAACTGCTGTACCAGCTATTTTCGCGTCTGGATTTTAGTCTTTACCCTTTATTCTCATTTGTTCGATTCATTAGGTCAATCGTCGAACTAATGACATTTTTTTTATCTCATTCGTTCGATCGTCGAACTACTGAGATTTTATTGTCCTCATTTGTTCGACCGTCGTCGAACTTATTTTCTTTTTTTACCCATTTGCCTTACCAGAACCTCTTAGTTATGTATGGTATCCTGGTACTTTTTTCTAAATAGTGAGTTTTACTATTGTTTATGGATGCAATATTGACAGGGGGGATATATTCCCGTATAAAAGAGAGATTATTTAAACTTTTATTGTTTTCTTATTTCTTCATGGCGATGCACACCTTCAGTTAGTCTATTCCAAGGGTTTACAATATCTGGAATGCTGACCTGACCAGCAAAAGCGTTCCGAAGTGTAAACCTCAATTAGTGGAAGCTGTCTCTTTCTAGTAGTGTATCCAAACAGTAACTTAAGTGATGAGATAATTCTTTTTCTCTGAATAAAGTGACCTTCTCATTTTCAATTCTATATAATAATAATAAATTCATTTATTTGCACCACAAATTAATACAATTAATAATAAGCAGACATAAATGATTATAATTTTAACAGTTCTTAAATAACTAGTATGAACTACAATCATTAGTGAGTGACAGTGATGCAAATAGGCAGAAGCTCAGCAGTGTTTTTGCCTTAATAGACAAAATGTGATTTTCAGCAACTGCCCGTAGGAAGCGCGAGGATGTAGGTACGCTGCAAAGCTGGCATTGTAAGTCCCTAGTCCGACACAAACACAACACACGAACATCGTATTGTATATATCTTAGCTTAAAGTCCAAAAAAATTAGTAAAATCTTTAAACGACCTGCTGAGCTTATTGATAAACATTTATAAGATAAAGGGATTTTACCACCACGTAATATCAGGTGGTAGAGTCATTTGCCTACCTATAGTCTATTCAATTTGGCCTGAGACAAAATGTAAACAAAGAATCTGAGGTTCTAAAACTTTTTTAATGTCAGAAAGTAAAGTTAACAATTAAAAAAATAACAAAAATGAAACAAGGAAATAACAAGAATTTAATAATTATGATAGAATATGCACGCTCGCGTCAACAGGTTGATCGGAAGAATAAAGATGGCTGACGTAAAAAAACCAACCGATTATAAAATACAACATTTCAACGTAAAATACTTATATCATGTCTACTCTTAAATTTTGTCGTTTTATAGTACGTCTTAGTTTGGGAATGATTGTGTTTTTAGGTTTTTTCCATGTCAACTGAAGTTGTTAAAATACTTTTATCAGCAATATAAATGAATAGACTATAGCAAGGGCGGATCCAGAGGGGGGGTCATGGGGGTCATGAACCGCCCCCCCCCCCATGGACTGGGTCCACCTGTACCCACTTCACAATCTATATCCACTGTAACTTGACCACGACTATATGCCCCCGCCCCTAGCGCCAATGCTGGATCCACCCTTTCTTCTTAGCTATGAAAAAGCTGACTTGGTTAAAAAGTGGTTCTACGTGTATATTAATGGTTCTTTTACTATCTTATAATTGATGTAATATATTATTATATGAGTATTGTTTATGAAGGGAATAAGGAAGTTTCATGTGGAGTAAAATAAATTAAAATGTAAATATAAATTAACATAATTTTCCGTTTACTATGTTATTTTATAATTTAATTTTACAAAATTCAGTATTTCTTGAAATTTTTAACCGCCAAAAGAATTTGAAGTATTTATTTTAAATAAACTTGCATAAGCCAATTCCGTCCATTTGGAGACTAAATTAGGATATTTATTTTAAATGCGGTAATTATAAATAATTAAAATTTATGACTTGCGTCAATTCAAACGTCAAATTGTTACTTTCACTTTGTATTGAAACAAATACAAAAATATCTTAGTAGGAATACCTACAGCAATAACATGATAATTTTAAGACTCAATGTAATAATAAATTAAGTACTAGTCTTTAGAAATAAATTACTTAAAACATAGCTTCAGAAGTTGGCTTAATGTAACATCAGAGTATGTTAGTAACTGTACAGTTCCAATGAAATTGTATACTTATAAAAAGTTTTTTGTTTTGTATTAAATAATAAACGTTTTTGTTAAGATAAGTCTTGTTTTTTTTAACCTTTTATATCATTATGTCCATCTACCTATTATTGTTTAACTAGCGGCCCGCCCTCGCTTCGGCTCGGTGTTGAGCTGAAGTGTAGACTACAGTATTTGTTCTCAGGCTTGTATTATACGCAATGACATTCATCTATGATTCTTCTTATACCTGCATGCAAAGTCTCAGCCCGAGCGGTTTAAAATTGACAAAGTTTCATATAAACTTTCATTCCCTATTTTATCCCCTTGGGATTTTCTTTATATTTTTTTCCGTAAGAACCTTGTACAGAGTATTAGAAAACTACAAAAAAAAAACAGCCAAATCGGTCAAGCCGTTTTCATGTTATGTCGTGACAACGGAAAACGGGTTTCATTTTTATATATATAGATAGATGAATAGTCAAACTAAACATAAGAATACCGTATCATCAGTATTTGTCAACAAAAGCTACTTTCACACTCGCCGCAATAGGTGTTTTATTTTTTGATCAAAATCCTTTCTTAGCAGATGCCTACGTCATAACACTACCTGCATGACAAATTTCAGCTCGATCCGTCCAGTGATTTGGGCTGTGCGTTGATAGATCACTATGTCAGTCACCTTTGAGTTATATATATATACTAGCTGACCCAGCGAACTTCGTACCGCCCTAAAAAAATAGGGGTTGTCCAGCGGACAAAATTGTGAATCTAAACCATTCTCAGATCCCCTTGAACACACACAAAAAAATTCATCAAAATCGGTCCAGTCGTTTAAGAGAAGTTCAGTGACATACACACTCACAGAAGAATTATATATATATATATAAAGCTGAGATAAAGAGATGAGAGAGATGGAGATGCATTAAATTTTAGACTGCAAAATAAAATTTAAAAAGGATTAAACCAAAAATTTATGTCAGAATTTAGTATGTATGCTTAAAACTTATTTTAAGTTTAAGTTGTTTTGATCACAACTCAGTTTTTGTGAAAAATCAAACACGTTGTGAGCTGCTTGCAACCTGTATTTAGTAGACATTATGAAAGTAAACTTAGTGTTCAAGCTTAAGCTTCGGATATACAGGTGATTGAAACAACGCCCATCTATGCAAATGTCTTATTAACAACCCACTGATCTTCTTTTACACTGGAGAAAAGTATCAATATGAAATAAGTAAATCTTTCCCACTCCCAAAAAAAAAACCCGGAAGGAGAAAAAGCTGCATCTTTATTTTCAGTAACAGGATGAAAAATAACAGGCTTGTGCTTGGCGGACAATTCTTGCTCAATTGCATTTCACTAACGGCCCGCCCTCGCTTCGCTTCGGTGTAGAGCTGAAGTGTAAACTACAGTTTTTGTTCTCAGGCTTGTATTATACACACTGACATTCATCTATGATTCTTCTTATACCTGCATGCAAAGTCTCAGGCCGATCGGTTTAAAATTGACAAAGTTCCATACAAACTTTCATTCCTTATTTTATCCCCTTGGGGGTAGAATTGATCAAAATCCTTTCTTAGCGGATGCCTACGTCATAACATCTACCTGCATGCCAAATTTCAGCCCGATCCGTCCACTGGTTTGGGCTGTGCGTTGATAGATCACTATGTCAGTCAGTCACCTTTGAGTTCTATATATATAGATTTACTAGCTATATGAGAAAGAAAGATAATGTACGCGCACTGCTTTCTCTTGCTTATATCATTGTAACGCATTCGCCAGCTTGCCCCCCAAGTCAAGCGTACCTAAAGAAGTTTCACTACAAAAGTCAAACACACCTATCGAAGTCCCTTACCACCAAACACACAAAGGTTTTCCTTGGTTTCCCAATCTTTCTATATGGAGCTGAGACGTGGATACTCAGAACGAAAGGCCGTCGCAAGATTGACGCTCTGGAAATGTGGTGTCGCAGACGTTAGCTACGAATTCCGTGGACCGCG